TGTGTTGTCGGATTTGCGCCCACACGGCTCAACATGGCATGAAGCGTGGGAAGCCTTTCAACCCACGATGAGCACTGGTTCTGCGGAAGTGTACCATTACATGCAAGACTACCATGTCGGCCGAAAGAAGGCCGCAATGACAAGAACGTCCAGGGAGGAAGAACAGAACATCCAAATGGAAAACGACGATGGTCGCACTGAGCCTGATGACTTCGACGACATTGACTTTGAAAACGCACTCCTGGTTGCCAGCAGACATCCAGCAACCAGGCACTTGAACTGTGATGATGCATGCGATACCACATCGGAATTGTATCAAGCAGTATCATCGTCGGAGATGAACAACCAAGTCAAGTATCCAACAACGACGCCAATTGATGCGGATATGGCAACATTGGTTGGTGGTCAGTCCCTCGACGAAGCGTCAACAACAGCATCCTCAAGTTACATGTCCATTTTGGGTGCTTGGGACCAGCGACTTCGTTGCCGTGAGCAGTTTGCGTAGATGTCAAAGGTCTAAAGACATGGATGCCGAAAAAACGCGTGGAACGAGTGTCACGTTCGAAAACCAATCCCGTGTTGAAGAAAGCAGCGAGGCATCGGTGGCTTGGTGTACACATCCGCCTGGCGAGATTCCAACGCTGGTCCAAGTCAACGTGCCGGGTGCATTAGATCCATCAACGATGTTGTACACTGGCAACCTGGTTGAGAGGGGCAAAGTACCTCAAGCTTTGCCCGATTACGCCCACATCGGTGTTGTTTCGAGTGCTTTTGGCCTTCGTATGCGCCAACACTTGAGCTTCACATGTATTGCACGTGCTCTATTGCAGCGATGGCAACTTGAAGATAATGGAGATCACGACCCACGAAGTGTCGCCACTGCAACGAGCGCCATACAACTACGAATGGTTCTGCACGGTGAAGGGGGTACTGGAAAGTCGCATGTCATCGCTGCTGTGCAAGCGTTTTGTAACTCGTGGAAGAGACCATTCAGCATTGCCAAAACCGCAATGACTGGCAAGGCCGCCGTCTCAATCAACGGAGTTACGTTGCATAGCTGGATTGGTATGCACAACTTGACCCCAAGCACTGTTCACGAGGCGAAAGAAGCCGACGAGAAAGGCGTACCTAGCTACACGGAAGATCTCAAGCTACTCCTGGTGGACGAAATGTCCATGATGAACAAACAACAGTTGGTTCGACTCGACAAGGCACTTCGTGCACGGACGAAGCTGGACTTGCCCTTCGGTGGAATCAACATCGTTTTGGCTGGTGATTTCTTCCAAATGCCCCCTGTTGGTGGAAATCCGTTGTATACACCACTGTCTGCGTATCGAGGGGACTTGAAGTTCGATCTCTACGAAGTCCCGGGCTTCCATTTGTGGCGGTCGTTCAAGGATGTTGTGGTGTTGAATGAAAACGTCCGATTCTCCCAGGATCCCGAGTTGGGGCGATATGTGAGCCTGGCACGAAAAGGCGAATGGAGACAAGAGCTTGTTGACATCCTGAACAGCCGCATCCTCTCGGATGGTTTGGTTTTGAAGAGTATGGTGTCACCTAATGTCAGCACTCCTTCAGGTTCTCCAAGTCAACGATGTACAGTACAGTACAACGTACACTACTCCTGACAACCGGACAAGGCAAGCCATCATCAACGCATACACTGCTGCATTGTCTACGAAGCTTCCACGGAACCACTACCCCATTCGAGTTGTGGCCAACTTCAACGGTCGATTGAACGGGTTGTCGTCAAAAGACATATCTGACATCATGTCCCTTCCCGACACAAAGCTCGGCAACATGGCCCCGTTCATCGATTTGATCCCGGGTATGCCCGTGGTGTTTACA